TTCATCTCAATTGTTGGATCATATGGTAAGACTATAGTTAGGCAAAGCCCATGGCCGAGATGGGGTACAAATAGACGATGATAAGACTGAGCTACTCAGAATACCTGAGTATCTCTAAGACTGAATAAAGACTTTTGTATTTGTATCCATTCAATGAGACAGAACTTCTTAATTGACTTTTAAAAATGCAACTAAAATAATACTAAGATTGTAAGTAAATATTTTTTTAAAGGCCTTTGAAAATTTGGGGCTCTTGGTCCTAAGTTGGTTAAGCGTCTGCCTTCAGCTCAGGTCATGATCCCAGGGACCTGATACCGAGCCCCACGTCAGGCTCTCTGCTCAGTTGGGAGTTGCTTCTCCCTCTCCCTCTCCCGGCCGCTCTGCCTGCTTGTGCTCTCTCTCTCTCTCTCTGTCAAATAAGTAAATAAATACATGCATCCATGCATAAATGAAATCTTTAAAAAGTAAATAAATAAAGGACTTCGAAAATTTTCCTTCAGTACCAAAATCAGTTGCTATAAAAGATGAATGATGAGAATAGTTCCCATTTAAATAATGAATTAAATAAAATTTCTAGGGTTTGAGAGGCTTCTATCTGTCTTATTAAAGCAAATTTCCTCAGATGAATTCATCTCGAGCATATGCTGAAATTCTTTGCTTGTTAATGGAAAAACTAACAAGTGGATTATGGTATGTACCAATATTAAGTTAACTTCCACCAAGCCTATCTATCCTATTTGAGAAAAAAATATTTATACAGAGCTATCTATCCTATATGAAATTATTTTTTACACAAAGAGCTAAACTTCTATGTGCAGATATCACTTTACTTTTCATAGCTATGAAAGGTCATAACCATGAGGTTGACATTTGAGAGTCATCTTAGAGTTTTCAAGAGCAAGTGATAAGTAAACTCAACTGTTACTATGATTAGACATAGCAAGAAAAAACCATGTTTGTCTCTAGGCAGTTGTTCCTAATTTCAGATTGTTATGTCTTTATATATTTCCTTATTTTTGTCCCAAAGATACCATGTCTTCCTGGATCTCACTGAATTATGAATTAGGTATTTATGTATAGTAAATATATGTTGTTGAGAGATATCTCTTCTGACTCTACAAAGTGGCTTTTTATTTTAAATTGTAGTATGTTTTCATAGGTCTTTTTAAAAAAAAGATCTATTTATTTTAGAGTGAGAGAGAGAGAGCACGAGATGGGGGAGGGGCAGAGGGAGAAGGGGAGAGAGAATCCTCAAGTAGACTCCCCACTAAGCCCAACACAGGGCTCGATCCCAGGACCCTGAGATCATGACCTGAGCCAAAATCAAGTTGGCCACTTAAGCAACTGAGCCACCTGGGAGCCCCTGTTTTCATAGGTCTTTTTATGTGTTTCTCTGATTATACAGTTGACCTTTGAACAACATGAGTTTGAACTGCATGGGTTCACTTATATGTGGATTTCTTACAGTACAGAACTGCAAATGTATTTTCTCTTCCTTTTGATTTTCTTTTTTTTGTTAAGATTTTATTTATTCATTTGACAGAGAGAGAGTACAAGCAGGGGGAGCAGCAGTGGGAGAGGGAGAAGCAGGCTCCCTGCTGAGCAGGGAGCCCAATGTGGAACTCCATCGCAGTACCCTTGGATTATGACCTGAGCTGAAGGCAGACGCTCAACCAACTGAGCCACGCAGGCACCCCTCCTTATGATTTTCTTAATAACATTTTATCTCTACTTTACTTTATGGTAAGAATATAGTATGTAGTACATATAACATACCAAATACATGTTAATAAACTGTTTACATTATCAGTAAGGCTCCTGGCCAACAGTAGGCTATTAGTAGTTAAGTTTTGGGGGAGTCATAAGTTATACAAGAATTTTTGACTATGCAGGCTGTTAGTGCCCCAACCATCACATTGTTCAAAGGTCCACTGTACTTTAGAAGCAGGTCTATGCTTTCCACTCACCTACCCCCTTTTTTTAAATTATGTTATGTTAGTCACTGTACAGTACATCATTATTTTTGATGTAGTGTCCCATGGGTTAGCCCGGTGATGCATATTAAGGAGGGCACATATTGCATGGAGCACTGGGTGTTATACGCAATGAAACAGTCACCCACACCTTTATCCAGTTTGCATGGATCAGCACTACATTCCACAGTCTCTGTTTGTTTTCTATTTATCAAGTGAAAATATATATACCGTGAGGGTAGGGTTTTGACTGTTTCGTTCTGCTGTATCTTTAGTGCATAAAACAGGGTTGGCACATTGTAGGTCTTCAGTAAGTATTCGTTGAGTAAGTGGTTGAATATATGAATAGAAGAGTTCCATTGTTTCCACTGAGGGACACGCCAGGTTTATTTAATCAATCATCTATTAAATGGATATTTGAGTTGTTTCTGGATTTTCAGGATTTCATAGATAATATATCGATAAGCACCCTAGATGACTCTAGTAGAGACTGTGGCTGCCTCCTTAACATCCACTCCTCCTTCTCTTGGTGACTACCCTTATAACTACTCAGTTAACCAAACATATACCAAGTAGGCCAGATTTCTTGCAGAATGAAAAGTCCACCCCTTGCTCTGACGCTACACCATGTCGCTTCATTGTAAATTAATCAGCATAATCCCATTTGATTGTTGTCTCAGGGTTGTGCAAGTGACCAAATTCAGCTAAAGACACACAGTATGATGTCTGCCAGGGGCATCTGGGAAAGAAGCTTTCTAGATCTACTGGGAGCAACTTTGTTTATTTCTCTCCCTGGATACAGAAGAGGGAGAATCGGGCCCCGAGGGCCATTTTGATCACAAGGCTTTATCCCTAGGATAAACTGGCAGTAACGACAGGAAATGACAGAAATGCACAGGGCAGAGCCCAGAATAAGTTGGGTCCTTGACATTTTTGCATTGCTGAATCAAAACATCCTCGAAGCCTTCCCCATTTCTAAGCTTCCACTGGTGCATTTTTAAAGACCAAATGAGTTGGATATTCTATTCCTTGCAACCGAATGACTTCTAAATGGTACATTCCCATCTATACTTGGTTTTTGTTTTTATATCCATGTTTTAATAGGATAGAGTTCTAGAAGTGAAGTTGCTGGGTCAAAGAGTATACAGATTTTACATTTTAATATAAATTTACAAATTACAAAGAGTCAGATTTTAAAAAGACGAGAGAGAAAGTGACAAAAGAGGTTGAAAAGAGTCTATTGAATGGTATCAAGAAATAGGATTTGTTTGTTTTTTTCATACTTCTCTTTGGGCCTGCCCTGATCTCTCATCTTTTATCTATCTCACTTAGCCTGTCCAATCTCTGAATCTGCACTCTACTTGGACTGAGGTGGGTAGGTGTATATTGGTGGTGGTGATGGAGTGGAACAGAAGGCATTTCAGAGGAAACAGGAGCATCTTTAAGCTCATTTGCTTCTGGAGAGAAGCCTGAGATGTTTAGTTAGGGCAGATCTAAAGCTACGGATTTTAACAAAGAGGAGTTATATATGAAATTAATTTAGGCTCTATGCAAACATAAAAGCAACTCAATGAGAACTATGGAAATAAGACAGGACAGCTTAGTTATGACCAAATAGTTAAGAGCCTTGAATGCAAGGCTAAGGAATTTGGGCTCCATCCTGGAGGCATTGACAAGGCGATATTAAGGGCTCAGGACTGCTCCCTATGCATGTGCCATCCAGAGTTACAGAGGAATAGAAATTTGGTAATGGGGTGTGTACCTTGCCATACTTTCCTCTTCCAAGATACCCGGTATGGACTGCATGTTCGTGCCCCCCCCCCCACCAAATGTATGTGCTCAAACCCTAATCCACAGTGGGATGGTATTAGGAGGTAGGGCCTTCACAAGGTTTAGATAAGGTCATAAAGGTGGAGCCCCCGTGATGGGATTAGTGTCCTTATAAGAAGAGACTAGAGCCCTCTCTCTGCCATGTGAGGACACAGTGAGAAGGCCACTGTCTACAAGCCGGGAAGTGGGCTCCCACTATTTCCATGGCACATTGGACTTCCCAGCCTCCTGAACCATGAGAAATTAGTTTGTGGTTTAAGCCACCTGGGCTATGGCATTTTTGTTATAGCAGTCTAAACTAAGACAATATCCCTTCTTCACCTTATTCCTGAGGTTGTGAACCTTTCCCCCTTTCAGACCTCCTCCACCTGCTCCAGTGTTTCCATGCTCAGATCCCATGATATCTTCTTCCTGGATCTACACCGGATATGCATAGGAATCATGTGTTGGGACCTGTACTCCGAACGAACTCTGTAGACAAATCTTCTATGAACTGGATGTAATAGATCTATTTTTACAAATGTCCAAAAGTGCATTTGCGCTTTCGTTTTCTTAAAGTTCAAAATACTACATTATTTGGACTGGGATTTGGGGGACTGCTGGTGGAAGAGGGGCACAGATTGCTTGCAGACATCATGGCTGCTATAGCAATAAAACTCCAGTGGGAAAACAAGAAAGATCTCAGAGAAGGGGAACATATAAGTTGGTAAAACCTTGGAGAATGCAGGACATCGGTGATTTGTAAAAATTTCTCCACCTGGTGGTTTCCCTCATCTAGCCTCACAGAGTTTCAGATAGATTAGAGCACAGAAGGAGCCCATGGTGTCCCAGCAGCGGCAATGCATTGGGAATCAAGACAGCTGGAGCTTGGTCTCCACCTGACTATGAGCTTGTCGAGAGACTTTGGGCAGTTGATTTTCACATTCTGCACCTTGGTGTCATCATCTGTTCAAAAATGTGATGGTAACAGTGACCTCTAAGCTTATCCATGCTTATATCCTCAGTGGACCACACAGAGCCTAGCAGATAGTAGTTGATCAGCAAATTCATTTCGAGCAGGCTGAATGAATCATGGCATAACCTCTCCATTTCTATCTTTGTGTAATTGTTCAATTCCGAGTCTACCCTCTTACTCAGAAGCCGGTTTGAAGAGAAAGTTCATAAATATTAAGTAAGGACAGTTTTTGGACACATGCAATGTGGAACAAAGTGTTTTTATTTGATATTGTTTTCAGGCATGGTTGGAAGGTGAAGGTGACTAACGGGATGGTGCATAGAGCGGTACACATGCTTACATGCTTAGTTGGCAGTGATGGTCCGCTGAATCCAGCTCACGTAGTTGCAGACCTTGGTGTAGACACCAGGTTTGCCTTTTTGAGCACAGCCGATACCCCAGGAGACAATGCCCTGGAGCTCTCTGTTGCAGACCACAGGGCCACCAGAATCACCCTGCACAAGAGGGAAGAGACAGTGAGAACTCCCAACTATGCCAAGATGGGAGAAAGGCAAAAACCCTGTTTCTCCATTACCCTGGGTCCATTTTCTCAGGTAGCTGATTCTCTAGGAAGCACCTTCCCTTCCCCTGGAAATCCAATTCTCAATCTCTGACAGCATGCCTCTCCTTTCTCCTCCCTCCTCCTAGCTCCTGCTCTTTTCTTAGTTGTAGGCATGCAGGGCCAAGAAGAGGTGAGGACTGGTGAGTGCAGTGCTGCCCAGCTAGCCCTGCTTTTATCAGAAAGCTTCCTTCTACAGCATACCTCCTCAGCAGCGTGCCTGGATGTCCTGTTTGTACATCATCTTCTGTGTATCTTTTGACTCTTGGCCTTAGACATTAATGTCTCAAAAAGAAAATTTATCACTGATCCCAAATCTCTCCGTGGTCCCTTATAATCCATCCCAGAGACAGCTTTTCAATCTGTGTTTTGGGAAAGGGAACTAAAGTGGAAGGGCATGAAGTTCTGCTGAAATGAGTACAAAGAAACTGACCTGGCAGGCATCCTTTCCACCCTGCAGGTAGCCCAGACAGATCATGTTGCTGCTGATCTTGCCAGGGTAGGCATTGCGGCAAGTGCTGTCAGAGAGGATGGGCGCTTGAAGGCACTGCAGGGCATCAGGAAACTTTCCTGATGGGTGCAACAGTAAAAATGGAAGAATATTTTCCACAGGATTCCTAGAAAATTTTCCCAATCTCCCCCCCCGCCCCCCAACACCTTCCCTACTCTCTCAGATTGCCAGTAACTTCTATTTTGGAAGAACAACAATTATCTGGAAAGTCTTTCCAACAGTTTTAGTCAGCAAGTGTTCTCTCTGACATTAGCATCATTGACAATAGATCTCAAATCTAGACTATGTCTCAAGCAATTCTCTACTTTAGGCAATACCCAAGCCTTCTGTTCTGTTTACCTCCTCAGTTTCTACTTCTTTGCAAATCACTAATCACACTTCAGTTGAATATCTGCCATCTTTATCATAGCTCATTTTTGTTGTGTTTTCCAGCAAAGGAATCTTCCTAAGACTCCATATGTCTACAAACTATCCTCTACGAATCTTGCCTTCAGTGACAATTTGGACTAACTGACCCTCGACATGTCTTTCCCTTCTAGGATTTCCAGAGTTGGTGCTTTTGTTCCCTGTGACACTTACCCCCAACGCTCTGAAGATTCCCCCAGCCAGAGATGAGGCACTGGGTACCAGCAGCTGCACAGGATTTTGGCAGAGAGACAGCAGACACTCGAGAGTTGAGAGTGGCAGGTGAGCTCAGTTTAATCAGCATGATGTCATTATCAAAAGTTTTTTCATTGTATTTGGGGTGGCGGATGACCTTGGCTGAATTGATGAATTGCTCAGCACTCTCAGAGACTGCAATGTTGTGTTCTCCCAGACGCACCTGGATTCGGCTGGATTAAAGGATGCAAAGTTCCTTGAGGGCCAACTTGAGCTTCTCCCCTTTCCCTGTTCACCCCATTCATGAGCATCAGCACGAACACCATCCCCAGCAAGCATTTCCACACATAGGTAATTGTGCACTAAAGGGAGCCCTACCAGTCATGGTGCAGGTGAGAGTAACTCTTAGGTGGGTGTCCCTACCAGTATAGACTTATAGCCCACCATTGTGTTAGAAAGTTATTTCCCATGACTAAGTGATGCCAATAAAAAGTTGGGAAGTGAAACAGGAATTGGTGGTGACTATTCAGCACCTGTTACGCCTCCTCTGGTTGAGATTACTGATTACTGTAGGGAGATGTGGCAGGAATCAGAGACATGAAAGAATTTTAAGGGGGCAGAATGAATTGTGCTTATTTTTAGTGTTTACTGGAAGCTTCATGTGGGTTATTACCTCCATATGCCATTTTTTTCCTGATTGAGCTATCATGATTAGGACTATTTATTGATAATGCTCTTAAGCTAGTTCTAAGTATATTTCATCACTCACTAGCTCCCCTCCCATGTCTTTGGTACCATCATTTGGAAGGACATCAAGGAACTCTAAGTTTACTTTTCCATGTAAACTTGCCTCAGTGCATCATTCAGTGCCTGGGAGGAATGATGAGGCTCTTAGAATCTGAATTCTCTGCCCTCAAGTATAACTGTGCAGTTTACCCTGATTGTGTTTGGTAGAGTTGGGGCATGAGCTGATTTGAGAAAACAGGACTGGTTACTTACGACTTGTAGCAGTGAGCTGCAGACACCACCCACTGGGAATTGATGAGGGAGCCGCCACAGAAGAGGTAGCCCAAGTTCAGGAACACCTGGTAGGGGACAGAATTCTTCTGACAGGTGTAGCCCCCAATGATCTTGTCATCATCATCAATGGGGAAAGCAACTGACAAAGAAAAATTGGAAACAATCAGGTAAACAGATCAGATCCATCTTGGAGTTTCTACTTACCTCAAAGTTTTTGCAGATTACCTAGTAAAGAGAAGATAATGTTTTCCCTTGACACATAATCAGGAAATGGTGAATACATAATTTTTACATATTTTTCCCCAAATCTCATTATTCTATTCCTTTAACACATACCCTACTTATACTATTATGTGTCTAATTTTTTAATTTATGCTTTAAATTTGATATACTGTTTTTTAGCATAAGCAACACACACACACACAAACACACACACACCTCGATCAGAGACTCTATGTAATAAATGCCCTGAACATTATTATCTAAGGGTATAAAGAATACTTTTTATACAAAACTTTGCTCAACAGTCACGTAAATAAGCTTAATAAGGTTTTACAGTAACCATGCTTATGTTTATTTTTGGTAGTTGGTATAGGATAGATATCCCCGTGAAGTAACAGAAAGGACGATTTTAGAAGCCCCCTAAGAATATTCAGGCCTGGAAGGAATTGGGAGTTTTGTATTCTTGTTCCCCCAATTTCTTTTTTTGGTTCTTGCCTAAAATTTTCATGAAATAATTTCATAGAACATTATATGGTTTTCCTTTCCAATCTTTCCCCTTATCTCAATTTTCTTCCCAACATTTTAAAATTTACTCAGCATTCTGAAGTCTGCCCACTGATTTATTAAGATTTGGATGGCTCCCAAAGTCTATGATTATATTGTATGTACCCTATTTCCCAAGTATTTTAAAGTAATTTTGGGAAAGCCATTTCCATATGTATAGACTAATGTATTGAATTTATACCTGTCTAATTGGGGAAAGTTTAATAGAAAGATTTGTATAAATTTGGTAGTATAAAGAACAGAAATAGACATTTTTCTTTCTTTTGGTGATTAAATGATACATTATTTTACACCAGAGAGATTTCATTAGCAAAAATGTTGTAAAACCCAGCCCATAGCTTTTATTCATGAGAAATGAAGTACCTTCACCTGTTAAGGTCCTTGTGAAGATGCCCATCAGTGTAGAAGAGATGCAGGCTCTGACCCTCATAGAGTCTTCAGTGAGCCCAAGACTAGTCACTAGTCCCAATTTTCACTTCCAGTTATTAATTCCAAATGCTTAGAAAGGTCAAAACAACATTTCCTTAATGTTAACTCTCCTTTCCTTTTTCTTTTCTCCATAGATTTTTCCTTGAAGTTCAGGGCAATTTCTGCCTCCTTATACTTTCTAGGCTAATTACTCTTACTCACTATCATCTTTCCCCCACAAGGGAGATTTAATTATGTATAGACATTTGTACGACTGTAATCCCCCTCTTACTGTTACTGTGGTTTTTGTTACACTTGGTTAACCAGAGTCACGAAGCATTTTCTGATGTGTCCTCCAAAGATCATTATAGCCTCACACTACGTTACAATACCTATATCATTTACCCCACTTCATCTCATCACGTAGGCATTTTATCACCTCACATCATCACAAGAAAGGTGAGTACAGTACAATAAGTTATTTTGAGAGAGAGACAGAAGAGCACAGTCACATAACTTTTATTACAGTACATTGTTATAGTTGTCCTGTTATTATTAGTTTTATTGGTAATCCCTTACTGTGCCTCATTTGTAAATTAAACTTTATCATGGGTATGCATAGGTGGGGGAAAAAACACAGTATATAGAGGGTTCAGTACTATCTGTGGCTTCAGACATCTACTGGGGGTGGATGTAGCTGCTGCAGAAAAGAGAGGACTACTATATATGCTGTCATTTCAATATTTTAAGCTTCTTGAATACAGAGATTCTATTCAACATTCATTGTTGTCTTTCAGAGTACAAAGTGCAAACAAATACATCATGGACACCCACTGATTCATTTATTATTATTATAGGCTCACCAGTGGCTCCCAGCAGGGCAAGGAAGATGAAGGTCTTCATCGTTGCTCCCTGGATCTGGACTGGGGAGAGTGATGAACATTTCTCATCCACAACTATTTATACCTCCAGGTTTGCTATCGACACCCATGGCCATGGGTGCCAGGAAAGTGGTTTTACTGGAAACTCACAAGTCCAAAATTAGAATTCAATTCTGTGCCAAATTGAAGATAATTCAGCATCAGATTTAAACATTAGCTTTTGTCTACTTTTCCAGAAGTTTATGGGAATTGAAGTAATAATCCCACCTGGTGCGATGTGTTCCCCATAATAGAAAAGTATGTTGGAGTAAGGTCACGGAACGGGGCTATGGGTGTCCTATTTCCCAGACAAAAATCTTAGGTACTTGGTTGTCTCAGCTGTGAATTTTCATCTTGATGACCATCTTGAACACTACCCCCTTGATGTTTAATTAACCTTGGCTCTTTCATTATTATATTCTTCTCTGGTATCTCTGGCCTTGGATATCCATGTTAACTTTTCATTATTAACAGGGACAACTTGTTTCCTTGAGAAAAGAAAAATTGTTCTGAATTGAAGCTATGATCGATCTAGACAGAAGAGTGAAAAAATCACTTACATTTACTAGAACTTACTATATACTTTACATATACAAGAACTTTGTATATATTAATTTAGTAATTCTCATTACAAGCCTAGAAGTTACCTCTTACTCTCCCCACTTTATGTATGGGAAAACTGAGGCACACAAAATTGCAGGAGACTTGACCAAAATCACATAGCAAGTACATGGTGGGGTAAGGCTTCCAACCCAGGAAATCTGGCTTCAGAGTCTGTGTGCTTAACTGCTGTACAACACTTCCCGCATAAGTTCTCCACATTCTGGACACGATGATAATGCAGAAATCTTGGCCAATGATAATAGAATTGAAATTTATGGAGTGCTTCCTATGTGTCAGGCACTGTGGATGGGATTTATATGCATCAATTCATTCAATCCTTACCAACTGCTTCATAAGTGGTGTTCTAATTTTTACCATTTTATAGATGGGGAGGGTGAAGCTTAGAGAAATTACATGTTTTGCTCAAAGTTTTATACTCTTCAGTGCTCAACACAGGGTTCAAACTCAAGCAGCCTCATTTCAGGGGTCGTGTCCTCCACTGTGATGCCATAAACATAATTAAGGAGAACAATCTGAACTCTACCAAATTAAGGGATGACTCTAGGGAGCAGATAGAATTCTTAGAATAATCTAAGAAATGTGTTCCTGGAGCAGTTGTCATAATTAATGAGGTATGGCAGAAGTATCCAGAATAAGTGAATCTCAGGAAGAACTAACCTCTAACTACATATAACCAGAGTCTACTCCCACACATCTGAATGGCCTACCAGGATGTTTCTTCTGCTTTAGCAAATCATCCCTCCTGAAGTAGTTTGTTTCTTTTACATTTGAAATTTTTCTGATAAAAAGATGATTAACTAGAAGGCAGAACTGACATTTGGGGCCAGGTAATTCTGTGTTGTGGGGACTGCCCTGCACTCTGTAGGATATTTATTAGTGTCCCTGGTCTTAGTTACAAGTACCACTAGCCCCTCCTCAGAGTTGTGATAACCAAAATATCTCCAGACATTGGTAAATGTTCCCTTGGGGTCAAAATCATTCCCAGTTGGGAACAACCGATCTAAGGAAAAAAGATGGGCAAAGTAGCTTCTGAGGCCATAGCCATGGGAAAGTGCCTTGAACGTTAGGACAATGTAGGCACTCATTAACTACTGAATGAATGGCACATAAGGCAGGGGTGTTGCTCTTTTCTGATCCCAAATATCTCAGGAGTCCTGATGTATCTGCTGACATTTTTCCTCCCCTCTCTGTGACGTAGCCTTTCTTTGTTGTTTCCTCCTCCCTTTGTGACGCTGTCCCCCCCTCTCTGCCCCACTTGGCATCTCCCTTCTTCTAAAGGGTCCCTCTGCCATTCTCAGAGACTCACCAAACACTGAGATATGAAATACATTTAATAAATCATCCCCTGCCCCCATTTTTATGATGAGGAAGCTGTGGTCCTCATGGAAGTTATTGGAAAAGTCAGAACTCAGAACTGAATCTCTGGATTTCCTCTGACATGTTGAACTTTATCTGAGCCCTGTGCTCCCAGAAAACAGTGACTGTTGGGGCACCTGGGTGGCTCAGTCATTG